GAGCTAGCAAAAACATTAGGCGTGGCCAAAACAACTGTTTGGAACATTCTTAAAAAGAAGGAATGCACCGGTGAGCTCAGCAACACCAAAAGACCTGGAAGACCACGGAAAGCAACTGTGGTGGATGACCAAAGAATTCTTTCCCTGGTGAAGAAAACACCCTTCACAACAGTTGGCCAGATCAAGAACACTCTCCAGGAGGTAGGTGTATGTGTGTCAAAGTCAACAATCAAGAGAAGACTTCACCAGAGTGAATACAGAGGGTTCACCACAAGATGTAAACCAATGGTGAGCCTCAAATACAGGAAGGCCAGATTAGAGTTTGCCAAATGACATCTAAAAAAGCCTTCACAGTTCTAGAACAACATCCTATGGACAGATGAGACCAAGATCAACTTGTACCAGAGTGATGGGAAGAGAAGAGTATGGAGAAGGAAAGGAACTGCTCATGATCCTAAGCATACCACCTCATCAGTGAAGCATGGTGGTGGTAGTGTCATGGCGTGGGCATGTATGGCTGTCAATGGAACTGGTTCTCTTGTATTTATTGATGATGTGACTACTGGCAAAAGCAGCAGGATGAATTCGGAAGTGTTTCGGGCAATATTATCTGCTCATATTCAGCCAAATGCTTCAGAACTCATTGGACGCCGCTTCACAGTGCAGATGGACAATGACCCAAAGCATGCTGCAAAAGCAACCAAAGAGTTTTTTAAGGGAAAGAAGTGGAATGTTATGCAATGGGCAAGTCAATCCTGACCTGAATCCGATTGAGCATGCATTTCACTGAAGGGAAAATGCCCCAAAAACAAGCAGGAACTGAAGACAGTTGCAGTAGAGTGAATAAATCAAAGAGTGCGCTAAATATAAGTAAATACAAAAATTATTAGTTTAAAATAATTATGTCCTTGACAGAAAAAATATAAAAGTCCATCCACCATAACAAAGTAATTAAACAGTTCTGAAATCTTGTATAAATCAAACACAGTGCAAAAAAAATCCACCACTGAATGAAATTGGTACACTCACCAGAGCTCCATGCTGACCAGATTATAAGTCAGCAAAGATAGCGTTTGCTCTGGGAGCGATGATCAGCAGAAGTAATCCAAACTGGGAGCAATATACTGCAAGCAGCCAGTCAGCACAATATGGAATAGCCTTTAACAGCAGGTAGTCATCACTTCTCCATACCATAGATCATGTTCGGGGAATCAAAAAAGGAAATCATGGTGCAGTACGTTTCAAACCAAAATGTTTTATTAAAACGTCAAAAATGCACTCACAAACAGGGTGTCTAGCCGACATCAGCAATGACAGCCTCAAGAAAACAGGGACGAGCCTCGCTCACCGCGATATTACAGCCGACAATCTACGAGGAGCGTCCAGACGTCACATCAAAAGAAGTTTCGTCATTTGATCCGATGTCCTCATGGGGCAGGTTGTGTAAGCTCAGCCCCTTGAGTGGCTGAGCCATGGTGACGTCACTCCTGCATATGCGCATGGGAGTCACATCGTAACCATACATGGAGCAGCAATATTCTATCTGGGGTGTGTATATTAGCCATAGTACTTTGCTGGACAATATATGTATACCACCATGTAGGGTACAATATGAGTGCTGGAGGCTTGTGAGGTGATGGCATGGTGTGTTCCTTGATGCTCTGGTGGTCTCACTTTGGGGATTTTTGATTATAGGGCTGACACTCCCCTTTCGAAGGGGCTACGAGCTAATGGTTACACTAGGATAACCATATGCATCTTGAGTAAGAACACATGATATGTATATGTATGTATATGTATGATATGTATCAAGTTTTGTTATTTTGGACACAGTATTTATATTTGAAGAATTTGTTATCATGGGAATGTATTATGTCATATATTGAAATACAGGCTGTGAAACGCATAGAGCTCATCTGTGACCCTTCTTTTCTCCTCCTTCTTCCTTGTGAAGATTCCATATACCTACAGTATCACTTATAGCCAAATTTTGGGACACAGCAGTTGGTTACTTTGATTCATAAAGTAATAAGTGTGTAAAATACCAACTAATACCAATGCTTACTAGCATCACTTCGTAAGTGAGTTTTAATGTAGTTGATGTTTTTCTAAGTACATTGTCCCTTTTTAAAATCTGTAACAATAAAAATGAAAACCTAAGAACTCAAGTGTTTTACTTTTGTTGAGAAAAAAAGAAATCCTCTTTGAAGAAATAGCTCTTCGTTTGGCCATTTCCTTTGGATACTAAATCGGAATGGAAAGGTCTGGTTCATTATAATTACCTGGTGCACTTTCTGCATCTCGTTAGTAAGTAATTAACCCATAAATAGTATCTTGCTAAAAATTTTATTTCTTTTGCAAAGGATACCTAAAATCTAACTTGTATGTAAATGCATTTGTTTGGTAAAATCAGTGAGCCAATCAAACAGGATATGACATTTATGGGATGTTTTGTACACCAGGGGTTTCCATATTTCATTGAATTTTACAGACAATTACACTGTTGCAGATTGAAATCAAAAGATACATTTTAATAGCATTAAAGTGATTTAAAAATGTGGGTATTAAAAAAACAAAAACAAACATGTCATACTTACCTGCTCTGTGCAATGGTTTTACACATAGCAGTCTGATCCTCTTCTTCTCTGGTTCCCTGCCGACGCTCATGGCTCCCCCCCCCTTGATCAGTGCCCCCCACTAGCAAGTTGTTTGTTATGGGGGGCACTGGTTCACTGGAGCATGCTCACTCCTGAGCCCCGCTCTATGCATCCATAAGACACATAGAGCCGCTGCTCTGTCCCACCCCTGCTCTCTCCTCATTGGCTCACTGGCTGTGATTGACAGCAGTGGGAGCAGATGGTTCCTGCTGCTGTGTCTCAGCCAATGAGGAGAGAGAGACCTGGGACAGCTGAGGCTCCCACGCACATCACTGGATCAAGAGGGGGCTCAGGTATGTATAAGGGAGGGGCTGAGGGGGGAGCTGCAAACTGAAGATTTTTTAAATTCATGCATAGAATGCATGCAGGTAAAAAACCTTAAGGCTCGATTCACACTACTGAGACCTGACAGTCGCAACAGTGCAACTTTGCCAGGTGACTTCCTGGCGATTTGATGGCGACTTCAGTATGACTTTGATGTGCGATTTTCATGCCATGTGACTTTGCCTGGGTAATCTTCCTGTAATGTCAGATCCAAATTCCATCAATATAGATGAGGATCCGACTTGGAGGTGACTTTATTCAAATCTATGGGCACAAGTTGGATAGAAGTTGCCTTGAAGTAGTACAGGAACCTTTTCCAAAGTCGGAGCAACTTCAGTGGTGCTAATTAAGACAGCTTTCATTGACTAACATGGGATTTCACATGTCATGCGACTTGGGGTCTCACAAATCGGATCCCAAGTCGTAGCAGTGTGAACTGAGCCTCAGCCTTTACAACCCCTTCAAATTACAGTATGGCTTGTGCAGCAACCTGTTATACTATATTATGATTAATGGGGTTTTTGGTAATTTTTTTTCCACAAAGTGAAGTTACCTTTCAAACAGCTCTCGTAAGCAGAAAACACACATTACATATAACAAGCAAAAATGGCTGCTCATAAAACAAATGTATTAAATTATCAACAAGCATTGAAATAATTATATTAACGAAGTGGATCATATTTATATAGTAATGACTATAGATTAGATTGAAAATAGTGTTTTATTATAAATCCCAAAAAGCCTGAGTTTGCCATGAACACTCCCTGTTTATTTTCAAATCCATTCAAACAGCAGGTTACAAAAAAAGCAAATTGAAGAGCGGAACACTGGGAGGTTTGCAGTCATTGTCTCTATCCCATAGCCCCCTCCATTTCCCCCTCTACACCCGCCCTCATCAAATTCTCTTTTCTTGTATCATGCTAAATCACTATGCGAGCAGCAACAACGCTATCAATGCTACCTCACACAAACAGTAGTTATGTTACTACAACTGACAGCATAATTTGTTTTTACCATATTCATGCACCAGAGCACACTGGTAGGTGTGAAAATAGACTTGGTTGGAGTAAAGCAGGATGCGAAAGAAAAATAAACAATGCAACGTGATAAAAACTGGAGAGTTTCTATAATAAGCAATGTTCTTGTTTAGGATAATGAAATAAAATATTTTTTTCTCCCAACTTATTTATTTCACCTTTTTAATGAAAACTGCAGGAAATAAAACTGATGCATAAATTGTTGCAACCAGTTATATCTAATTTTTCATTTTAATAGTGAATAAAAATCAAATAAGCATCCATAGGAAGCAGGTTAATAATTTTTCATGCCGACTCTGTGTGTCCAAAGGCACACAAGGCGTGGCTCAGCCCTTCCCCCTGCTCCTTCCTCACTGGATGTGATTGACAGCATTGGAAGCCAATGGGAGGATGAAGAGAGAGCCAACAGAGCTGCTGTTCTCATGCACTGGACCAAGCACAGGCTTAGGTAAATATAAGATGGTGGCTGGGAGGAAGTTGCATTCAGAAGGTTTTTTACCTTAACCTCCTCGGTGGTCTGATTATTTCCGATTTTTTGTGCTGAAAGCGGTACCATTTTTTTGCATGGAAATATGTAGTTTTTTATTGTAGGCTGTAATTTTTAAGAATAACTCACTGAAATCTGTACGAACTGTACGAGTCTATTAAACATCCCGGGTATGATAAAATTTGAAACACGAAATCATAAATTATAATTTAATAAATAATCATAAAAAATAATAATATAATAATAATAAATTTAATTCAATAATATAAGCAAACTAAAAACACTGAAATTTGAAATACAGAGGCAAATTCGCACATCGCTGAGCAAAGTCGCAAAATCGTTTTCAGTGTCCGATGACGAATGTCCCCACAAATCATTATCACTCAATTCTGCAAGTGGTTCTGATTTACTATCGCTGTTCTCTAGCCGATCTAAAACCGATTTTGACCTAAACGGACGCTTTTTGGACGCCATGGACTTTTCTATGTTTCCAGGCAGAAAGAACAGTCAAAATGCAGGCAGGGCACAGGACAAAGCACTAGGGACAATATGTATGTGAAATGCATTGAAACAGCAATGTTTTACTATGTAATAGTCATTTTAAAAAAAATGACATTTTTTAAAAATTTCAAATTTGCTGCCGGTTCCGGCGCCCGTACTTCCCGACGTCACAGGGACCGGAACACGGAAGCCGGATGCCGGAGGAGATGGCCGGGGACGCTGCAGGGGATACATCGTGGGAGCGAAGTACAAGGTAAGTGCTGCAGGGACTCCCTGAGCAACGCCGCAGGGTAAGCCCGAGTGTAGCTCGGGGTTACCGCTTTTGGTACTCAAATTTTACCCCGAGCTACACTCGGGAATACCGCTAAGGAGGTTAATGAAGAGACTGCATTACCCTCCCTGGCGGTATTCCCGAGTGTAGCTCGGGGTAAAGTTTCAGTATCAAAAGTGGTGACCCCGAGCTACACTCGGGCTTACCCTGCAGCGTTGCTCAGGGATTCCCTGCAGCACTTACCTTGTCCTGCGCTACCGCGATGTGTCCCCTGCAGCGTCCTCGGCCATCTCCTCTGGCCGATGCCAGCACCCATCTTTCGGGTTCTGGTCCCTGCGAGTGTCAGGACGTACGGCAGGAAATTAGAAAATTTTTAAAACTGACATTCACTAATACACTAAAATCACATAGTAAAACATTACTGTTTAAAACCATTTCACATACATTTTGTCCCGAGTGCTTTGTCCTGTGTCCTGCCTGCATTTTTACCGTTCTTTCTGCCTGGAAACTGAGAAACGTCCATGGCATCCAAAAATTGTCCCTTTAGGTCAAAAGCAGTTCTAGACCAGCTAGAGAACACCGATAGTAAATCAGAACCACTTGCAGAATTGAGTGATAATGATTTGTGGGGAAATTCGTCATCAGACACTGAAAACGATTTTGTGACTTTGCTCAGTGATATGTGAACTTGGCGCTATATTTCAAATTTCAGTGTTTCTGGTTTGATTAAATTATTGAATTAATGAAATGTATTATTATTATTTTTTGTGATTATTTATTAAATTATAATTTATGATTTTGTGTTTCAAGTTTTATCCTACCCGGGATGTTTACTAGACTCTTGTTCGGACAGATTTCAGTGAGTTATTCCTAAAAATTACAGGCCTACAATAAAAAAACAACATATTTCCATGCAAAAAAATGTACTGCTTTGAGCACAGAAATATGGACATAATCATACCGCTAGGGAGGTTAAAGTGGATGTATAAAGGCAGAAGGTTTTTTTACCCTCATGCATTCTATCCTTATGCATGCATGCATGCAGCTTCCCCTTCCCTCATCTCCCCTTATTCTTACCTGAGTATGATCTTGATCCAGCGAAGTGCAAGAGAGCAGAGGCTCTCTCCTATCTCTGCTCTCTCCTCTCTTTCACTCCTCATTGGCTTAGATACAGTAGGGGGAGCACTGGCTCCGGCTGCTGTCAATCAAATCCAATAGGCTCGGAGCAAGCACGCACATGTGCCCCCATAGCAAGCAGCTTGCTATGGGGGGCACTCAGAGGGGGGGGGGCCAGGAAAGCTGGTGGGGGGACCCGAGAAGAGGAGGATCGAGGCTACTATGTGCAAAACCATTGCACAGAGAAAGTAAGTTTAACATGTTTGTAATCTTAAAGGAAAAAAAAGCAAATGTTTAGTATTACTTTAAGGTAAAATACCTTCAGCCTTTAGAATCACTTTAGGTGTTACGGTGTTTTTAAGTTTGGGAAAGAATTAGTAGAAAAAAAGCATGATAAACAAGATTTTCATGAAGTAAAGATTTTTAATTGAAAGAAGTCTTTTTGTTTTAAAGCAGGGGTCTCCAAACTTTCTAAGCAAAGGGCCAGCTTACTGTCCTTCAGGCTTTAGGGGGGCCAGACTGTGGCCAGTGGGAGTAGAAAATGCTCGGCATTAGTGACCCATTGATCTTAATGGGAGGAATAGTGCCCCATTGTTGATATCAATTAGGAGAATATTGCCCCATTGATGGTGTCAGTAGAGGGAATGGTGCTCCATCATTGGTGTCAGTTGATAGAACAGTGACCTGAGGGCCAGATAAAGGCAAGCAGAGGGCCACATCCAACCCCTGCTTGCCTTTGATGATCAGTTGAGGGCAGTTTTGCAGATCCAAGAGATACAACTGAAGGATATAATTCACATGCACACAAACATAAATTCTAGGAACAGCTTCAGGAACAAACATGAAGTTAAGAATAGGAGTACAACTTATAACAAAAATATAAAGACAAGAATAAAAATAATCAATTAAGTAATAAGAGTAATAACAAAACAAACTACTGTGAACTATGGTAAGAATATATCTATAGATTCCGATATATACACATATGGCAGCTTAGTTATCCAGGAGCACCACTGTCAATAAAAGCAATGTAAATGTACAGGGTTGCAGTGGAGTAAAGCTCCAAAGAAAAATAAAGTCCTGGGCAGAGGATTTCAAGCTCTGATACCCGTAAGGCTGAAGCTTGAGCATAATGTAGTCTGAGGTTGGAATGTCTCCTAGTAAGTCTTCTTGGTCCAAAGTGGTTGATGAACAAGAAACATGAGTCATGATGTACTAAAGCAGGTACTAGATCTAAAATAAGGGTTAGGAGAACTGGTCAGAAGCCCAAGATTGAGGGAGAAACAATTAAAGGGTTAATGGAGAATAAAGATCTCATTACTGGCCAGGGTGATAATGGAGGAGGATTACTTATTAACTATTGACTAATTAAATGAGACACATATATTATTGGTGGATAATAACACCTTCTCAAAGCTGTCCAAGGACCCAACAGTGGTACTTAAAGAAGTAATCGGAAACATTGTCCTTTCTTAAGTAGGTAATACAGTTCTGAGCAATATCATAATCTGAAATTGCATAAGAACCATCAAAGACTTCTAGGAAGACTAATACATTTCAAGTATTGACAGCATCATATGTGATCTGGATTACAGTATCGCCATTTGTCTAGGCCGGGTGTCGGCAACCCGCGGCTCCAGAGCCGCATGCGGCTCTTTTTCATCTTTGCTGCGGCTCCGGAGCACACTGCCCACCAGGTGACAGGCAATAGGGTTTCAGCGTGGCAAACATTGGCTGTCAGGATGTAGGCGGGGCAGCGTGACGAACTCCTCTCCTCTCACAGTCCGCCCTGAAGACCGGAACGGCACGGGAACACGACGAGAGGAACGCGCGGAGCAAAGGTAAGTGAATTGACACAATATGGGGAATGAATTACTATAGGGGGGATGAATTACTATAGGGGGGATGAATTACTATATGGGGAATGAATTACTATATGGGGGATGAATTACTATAGGGGGGATGAATTACTATATGGGGGATGAATTACTATGGGGGATGAATTACTATATGGGGGATGAATTACTATGGGGGATGAATTACTATGGGGGATTAATTACTATGGGGGATGAATTACTATATGGGGGATGAATTACTATGGGGGGTGAATTACTATATGGGGGATGAATTACTATGGGGGATGAATTACTATATGGGGGATTAATTACTATGGGGGATGAATTACTATATGGGGGATGAATTACTATATGGGGGATGAATTACTATGGGGGATGAATTACTATATGGGGGATGAATTACTATATGGGGGATGAATTACTATGGGGGATGAATTACTATATGGGGGATGAATTACTATGGGGGATGAATTACTATATGGGGGATGAATTACTATGGGGGATGAATTACTATATGGGGGGATGAATTACTATGGGGGATGAATTACTATATGGGGGATGTATTTTCAGTTTTAAAAATGTGGCTCTCAAAATAAAAAGTATGCATTTGGAGTGCTGTCGATCTTCGGCTCCACATATGTATGTGAGCAGGTCTTCTCCAACTTGAACTATATTAAAAACAAACATCGATCACGCCTCACAGATGACAGCTTGCAAGCCTGTGTGAAAATGAAGGTGACGTCTTACAGCTCTGATGTGCAGACACTGTGCACTGAGGTTCAGGAGAAAAAATCCCATTAACCAGATAAATTAAATATTTTAATTAGCTATTAATGTGCAAAAATATATTTTACATTGTTAAGTGAAAAAGTTCTTTTTTTCTTCAGATTGACAGCTAACTGCACGATCCTGTATATAGCATTAAGGTAAGAAACAATATATGCAGTGTCGGATTTGTTTTAAATGTTGCAATGGTTTTGCGGCTCCCAGTCTTTTTTTTCCTTTCGGAAACGGGTCCAAGTGGCTCTTTATATCTTAAAGGTTGCAGACCCCTGGTCTAGGCCCTGGTACTAGAATTGCCCCATTTTGTCTGGGAATCTGGACATTTGTTAGAAATATTATCACATACAAATGAATAGATAGCTATTTATGAGTTTCTTTGGATGTTTCATCTTCATGCATTAAAAACGAGTACAGTCTCTAAACTGTATAACACTTTCTTTCTCACGTGAGAACTTTTAATTCTAATGAAATATAATTAAATGATTAAAGGCATTAAATTAATTTTGACCCACAATTATTTCTCCTTCATTGCTGAATTTTAGGTGCAGATAAGGGGACTGTGATGGGAGCCGGGGTTCCACCTAGCTGTGCTGTGTTTGTGAGTTATTGGGAACGTTTTCACATTTAGGCCAATGACCCTACTGGGGCAAATCTGGTTCTTTTTACCAGGTATATAGATGGCATATTGAGCATAAAGTGACACAAACAAAAAGAGAGAAAGAATATTATACAAAATTATTCCTTTTGTGTATGTTTTATCACATAATATAACAGCTGTGCCTTTCTAATTATTAAAAGTGAAGTATGGCCTAAACTTTTTTTGGTCATATTTCTCTTTTGGCTCACAGGAGTGCACTTACTTTTGTACTCCTGTGATCCAGGAGCTGTCATATGATCGCTCAGTCCATGGGCTTAGAGCCAGCAGGGGACAGGTTAGAGGTTGTTATGTATGTTTGGATTTTTTATTACCACACTTCTTTAAAGTAATAATGATAATATTAAATTTTATTTTATATAGCGCCTTTAACGGTACCTTCTCAAAGCACTTTAAAAGACAGACATTAATAAGTGATATAGAATAAAAAGAACAAAAAGGGACCATTAAGGTGAACTATAGCAAAACTTTTTTTTTATTTTGAATAGAGAAAGGGAAGGTTATAACCCTAGTCAGATTTTTGGCCTCCAGCTGTGTCCCATTGCGGAGACTTTCCTTTCTTTCCTGTCACATAGCCAAACAGGAAGTAAGAGGAAATCACTGCAATTTAAGGGAATTCGTTGGGGATAGCCAGGTCACCAGTGCT